GATGCTGGGGGACACAGGCGTCAGCTCTGAGACACAGCCTGAGGTTGTTACCCCAGTCGGAGCCAATCACAGGGTGGCATCAGACCCACAGTGCTGAAACTGGGGTGCTTGGAGCCCTCTCTAGGGGAAGTTTCACTCCCCTATGCCCAGTCAGTGCTGCTGGATCCTAGCGCTGCCCACGACAGAGCAAAGAGGATCAGCCTGAGGTTTTCAGTTAACCCATAATCCTTGCCAGGGGCGTCAAAGTGGCAACCTCTCGGCCCAAACTGTGCTGTGGGCTTCCTTTGTTCTGTGGCTAAAGGAGCACCTCCTGGTGTCTCTTCAAAAGAGCCACAGCCCAGGGTGCTGCCTGGGGGTGCTCCTTACGTGGTGAGTGCTGTCAGCTTCAATGACCCGTCCCCAGAGCAGAGCAAGTGCCTCCTGGGCAGGGTCCCTTTTAAAGCCTGCTTCTCCTGGCTGACTCCTCCCTGTCATCCTCCTGCCTCGTCCCTGTCATCCCTAATCCCCATATGACTGAGGTGCTGGCTCACAGTGGCTGCCGTGGTCCCAGGGCACTGCACCTCTAGGCATCCTTGCTGCAGATGGCAGTGGTTATTAATGGGTGAGCAGTCTTTGCAGAGTTAAAAATATAGTGAAAGTCATTTTCTTTCTTTTATTTTTTTAATTTTTTTTATTTTGCAGTTTTGGCCAGGGCAGGGCTTGAACCCACCACCTCTGGTATATGGGGCTGGCCCCATACTCCTTGAGCCACAGGCGCTGCCCCCCCCTTTTTTATGAGACAGAGTCTAGTCTCATTTTGTCGTCCTCAGTAGAGTGCCCTAGCATCACAGCTCACAGCAACCTCAAACTCTTTTTTTTTTTTTTTTTTTTTTTGCAGTTTTTGGTCAGCGCTGGGTTTGAACCGGCCACCTCTGGCATATGGGGCTGGCACCCTACTCTGTTGAGCCACAGGAGCCGCCCCAACCTCAAACTCTTGAGCTCAAGCTATTCTCTTGCCTCGGCTTCCCAAGTGGCTGGGATTAGATTATAGGCTTCTGCCACAATGTCCGTCTATTTTTTAGATACAGGGTCTCACTTTTGCTCAGGCTGGTCTCGAACTCTTGAGCTCAGGCAATCCACCTACCTCAGCCTCCCAGAGTGGTAGGATTATAGGCTTATAAATGTCATAACACAATAATTAAGAAAGTGAAGGCTATGTTAACCAGTTTGTTGTGTTTTAAATTGTATATAAGTCCAGCACATTGTACCCCATAAAAGCATTAATGTACATAGCTAAGATTTAATAAAAAGAATACCACTAAAAAAAAAAAAAGAAGAAAGAAAGTCATTTTCTAGGGAATATTTATTTCACTTACCTTCTTTCCTCAAAATTTACTCTTACTTTTTTAGAGACAGAAATCACAATCTTGGGGGCACTGCACCTCCCTGCATCCTTGCTGCAGAATGCTGGAGTTCTCATTGCAAACAAGGTTCGGGGAGGTTTTTCTCTGAGGTTTTCTATCTAACAAATATGCATCCAGAGCCTGTGGCAGGGCCATGTGATATGCAAGGCCCTGAAGTCGGTCAAATGATGGGAGGTTCTGGCCTGGAAAATGGAGGCGAGACGTGTGTTCAGCATCTTCTTAGCGCCAGTTACTCTGCCAGGCCCTACACATACGTTCACACGCTGAACCCTCAACTAACTGCCCTTATTGGGTAGGTAATGCCGGTTTCACAGTGGACAGACGACAGCGCAGCCTAGGAAGGTGAACTACCTCATCCAAGGTCAGAGTTGCTACAAATCCATTTATTAGTGCATCAGTCCAGCACACAGATCCCTGAAAGCACTTTATATGTGCCCGGCACACAGAACATGACCATGTGAAGGAGAAGTATCTACAGTCCTGCCCTCACCACGCTTAGGATTTAGTTGTAAAGATGAATAAGCAGACGATTGCAGTGGAAGTGTTTTTTTGTTTGTTTGTTTTTTGAGACAGGGCCTTGCTGTGTTGCCCATGCTGGAGTACAGAGGTATAATCATAGCTTATTGCAGCCCCAATAACTCCTTGACTCAAGCGATCCTCCCACCTACCGAGGAGCTGAGACTACAGAAACCCACGATGGCACCAGCTAATTTAAAAAAATTTTTTTTTAGAGATGGGGTCTTGCTATGTTGCCCAGGCTGGTCACCAAGCAGTAGAGTTTTGTAAGTGTTATGACAGGCCGATGAATGCACAGGGGGTAAGGACCGGAGGGGAGGTCGGCTTGGTGGTCAAGTGGGGTGGGAGCTGATCCAAGAGCTCACACTCTTTCAGTGGAGAGAGAGAACAAGAAAGAAAGAGGGAGAGAGAGACAGACACAATGAGAAGAGTCACTCTTCAGTGCTGGCCTTTCCCTCTTTGTCACCCTCCGCTGTCTGGTGGCCATGCCCGCTCCTCTCCCCTGTCTCTGCGAGGCAAAATGGAGAGCATGGTTCATGGGAGATATGGTGGTTATGTTTATAACTCCACATCAGACCTCCAGCTTTTCTCAAGGAAAACTCTTATCCTGCCACCACAACCAGCTTTCTGCCCTGAATTCCCTGTCTTTAAGGCCCTCGCCATCCTCCCGAATCAGAGAGGTGGCAAGAATCCTCCACTCACACCTGCATCCAGCGATGCAGATTCAACTTGAGAATCCCATCCTTCCCTTGCTTCTCATTCTCCCTGCCTTAGACGGGACCTCTTCATCCTCCTTGGGGCCAGGACAACTGAGTCCCAAATGATCTCCAGCATCCCCTCTCTCCCACTCCACACTGCCATCAGCACTGTCTTCCTGAAAAGCAAATTAGATGACGCCATTTCCAATAACTTTTTATTGTGTGGAGAGTAAAACTGAACTTTCTTCCATGGTATATATGGTTCTTCAGTCTAGTTTCATCTTGTCCTTCCACTGTCTGCCCCAGCCACATCGAACCCCTTACTACACTGAATGCACCTCCCTGCTCTTACACACACTTCACCCTCTGAGCCTGGGGTGAGAACATCACCTGCTTCTCAACCTGGGAAACTCCTATGCAATCCACAAAACCCCACTCAAATATTATCCTTTCTGTAAATGAATTCTTTTGTTTCTCTAGCAGGTCTAAACCATGCCCTCCTCTGTTTTTATACTTTGTAAGTCCTCCAGCCCTGTATTTTAACTTTTTTTTTGCCAAGGGCTGGGTTTGAACCCGCCACCTCTGGTATATGGGGCCAGCGCCCTACCCCTTTGAGCCACAGGTGCCGCCCTGCATTTTAACTTTTCAGTGCTTGCCATAATATATAGAAATCATCCTAACATACAAATCTCCTGTCTGCACTCTCGATCCTTAACTTTTCAGTGCTTGCCATAATATATAGAAATCATCCTAACATACAAATCTCCTGTCTGCACTCTCGATCCTCCGAGTATTATATTTCTGTCTAGCACCTAACCACCGGTTCTGCTCAATGACTGTTTACGTTGTGTGTCAGGATTTCCCACCAGTTCTTTTGTCTGTGTATTTTGCCAGAGGCCTTGGGACCCTGAAATCTGCTCTATAGTTAAGCAACAGGAAGCAGAGAAACCCAACAGAGATGGAACCCTGGGGCTCTCTCCTTTATCCCTGGTCATAATTGTCCAACTTCAAAATACATTCTCTAACACCCTTAGTCATCAGGCTTATCATACTATCAAAGGGTGTTTGATGTTTCCAGTTTAAGTGATAAAAAAATAGCACTTGAGGAAGAAGCAGCTCCCAGTATAGGGTATGAGGAGCAATCCAGCCACAGCCACCCAGGAGGACAGCCGCCGTATACTGGAGGGACTCGGATCACCCGGTCCACTGCTGAGTGGCACCGTGCACAACTCAACGGCAAGAATATTCTCGTTGCACAGAATATTCAGATTTAGGCTGGGTGCGGTGGCTCACACCTGTAATCCCAGCAGTCTGAGAGGCAAGACAGGTGGATTGCTTGAGCTCAGGAGACCAGCCTGAGCAAGAATGAGACCCTGTCTTTACTGAAAAAACAAACAAAAAAAAAACAAAACACACACACACACACATATTAGCTGGCATCTGGGGCCAGCGCCCTACTCACTGAGCCACAGCCCTTGCCCCAAATGGGCGTCTATAATTGTCCCCCATCATCAAAACAAAAAGAGATTGTTATAAATCCCATTATTTTCCTAATGAAATAACCCGAACTTCAAACAACTCCTTTTTCGTTTAAAGAAAGAGTAATTTCCCAAATGACATTGAGTCAGAACAGGAGCTATGATGTTCGGAGCTTTCAACTACGGGACTTTTGTCAGCTAGAGACTTAGGGACCTGTTCTGCTTAAGTCAATTTAACAAATTAAATATGCTCTCCCTACCTATCCCCACTATCTGAAGCACTGTTTAACACTTCTCAGGATATTTTATAACTCATTAGTTTTTGGCATTCTCCACGGCATATGGCCAAAATGATTCATTCTTTCTTTGAGCACAATTAGCTGTGAAAACAGATCTTAGGACCGATCCCCCCCCCCCTCCCAAGGATTACTGAAGGTAGGAAGTGCAGGTGATTATCGGGTTTGCCTTTGATACAGACATCCTGCTCTGCCTCTGGCCCTTTGAACTGACTTTGATATGCAATAATTAAGAGGGATTCCACCCTGGAGGAGAAGCCGCAGTGGCCCTGCCCCTTCTCTCCTTCTATTGAGCCCTTGTTTTGAACTATTGATCAAACAGATTTGCAGGGATTTGTTGAAGCCTGTGTGGGGTAAGGAGGAAGGAAAGGGGGAGGGGAGAGCCAGCCGAGGGGGCGCATCTGGCTATAAGTGGTTTCAGAGGAAAGCTGCTGGTCAGAACTGATTCTGCCCACCTCTCACAGCTTACTCAGACGAGGATTTGTTTCTCTTTCAGAAAAAGCCAGTTACAAACGCTGTGGCCTGTGTGGCGGGGGCTGTGCTTTGGGCTTAGAGCAGCCCCACATCAGGAACACAGCGCCCTGAGACCCTCGGCCTGGAGATTGAAGGATGGTGGTGGTGGTCCTGCTGGGGCTCAGCTGGTTCTGCTCTCCCCTGGGTGCCCTGGTCCTAGACTTCAACGGCATCAGGAGCTCTGCTGTTGCTCGCAAGGTGAGGCTGCCCGGAGGGGACTGGGGACCAACGACCGCTGATGGGAGCTGCATTCAGAGTTAAGGAGGTCATTCAAATTAATGCGTGAGATATCTTATCCAGCAGGGAATTGATTTAGGAATTGGGAAGGCATTCTGCCTTAGCATTAGCATATGAAATAGTCGCAGTGGTTTTTCAGGTCATTTAGCTATAAATTCACCTATGATGTTTAGAAGGTTCTACCAAGAGCCAGGCGTTGTATAGTAGTAGCTAGCTCATTCTATCTTCTTTACAAGATTAGGTGGCACCCCTCCTAATTCCAGATGAGGAAAACAAGACTCAGAGATGCCGAGAACTGAACCAAGGCCACACAGCCAGTAAACACGGGTGTTTCACACTGTCTCACTTCACAGAACTGTTTTAAGGATCATTTTATCGACTTGTGTGTTACTACATATGCAGGGTGTTAAATTGCTTATGGATGCCCTGTGTTACATATTATATATGCCATGAGTAATATGTGTGTGTATGTGTGTGTGTGTGTCTGCAAAAGCATCAACTGTATATGAGAAAAATTGATCTTTGGTATCTTTTTCTCTGTGTGAACAAGGCATGATTAAAACTCAAAGGACAGGCTCGGTGCCTGTAGCACAGTGGTTATGGCGCCAGCCACATATACCGAAGTTGAACTCAGACCGGGCCAGCTAAACCACAATGACAACTGCAACTAAAAAATAGCCAGGCATTGTGGTGGGCGCCTGTAGTCCCGATACTTGGAAGGCTAAGACAGGAGAATTGCTTAAGCCCAAGAGTTTGAGGTTGCTGTGAGCTGTGATGCCACAGCACTCTACTGAGGGTGACATATTGAGACTCTGTCTCAAACAAACAAACAAACAATACCCATCAACTCAAAGGATAGCCCTCACTTTACCACAGTGCAATATGTCAGTGTAAGGAAAGTACACTTGTGCCTCATGAATATATACAAATAAAAAGTCCATAAATAAAAATCCAAGGACAGATCACTTGGGAAGGGCTCCTTAAGCTAAAGGGAGGCAGTGGTTGATGGGATTCACTACCTAGAAATCAAGTAGAAATGCCACAGACGTCGTGTTATATCTAATTAAACTGCCACACAGCTTCTAGAGTTCACGTATGCTAAAACTCTCATGATCATCTGCAAGACACACTTATAAAAACATTTATTTCCCATTTTCACAGAGTGCGAGAAAATTGAATGCGGAGTTAAAAGTAAGACAATTTTTTTTTTTTTTTTTTTGAGACAGAGCCTCAAGCTGTCCCCCTGGGTAGAGTGCCGTGGCATTACAGCTCACAGCAACCTCCAACTCCTGGGCTCAAGCGAGTCTCCTGCCTCCGCCTCCCAAGTAGCTGGGACCACAGGCGCCCGCCACAACGCCCAGCTATTTTTTGGTTGCAGCCATCATTGTTGTTTTGGCGGGTCCGGGCTGGGGATTCGAACCCGCCACCTTAGGTGTACGTGGCTGGCGCCTTAGCCGGTTGAGCTATAGGCGCCGAGCCAAGTAAGACAATTTTTCAAACACAAACAACCTTTGCAGCAGCTAGGTGATGTGGCGTGAAACCCGTTACATTGAAAAATTATGGTGCTGCCTAGAGTTTGTCAAAGTGCCTCTCCATTGGGCTTCTTCCACCTCCCACCCGGCATGAAAAGTTACCTCACGTCTTGTGGGATTCCCTAGCCTCTGACGAGTTCTCCTTCATAGGGGTCACAGTGCTTATCTGACAAAGACTGCAGTCCTGGAAAATTCTGCCTCGAACGCCAAGAAGAGAAGCCGTCGTGTGCCGCCTGTCGTGGGTTCCGGAGGAGGTGCCAGCGAGATGCTATGTGCTGCCCGGGAGCGCTCTGTGTGAATGGTGAGTGGCCTGAGCCCTTGCAAGGCTGCTTTGCTGCAACCAGCAGTGGTTTTTAAACCGAAGGCGGCGCCTGCGTTTCACAGACTGGAATATTCCAAGAGAGGTGCTCTCTCTCTAACAGCTTCCAGCATGCGTGCTGAAGCAAATTTATGCAGCTGCTTTTTCTTTATGAAGCTAATTATTTCCAGGCTATAACTCTTGGAGATAATGATCTTACAGGAAAGATTCAAGTTGGAATCGTTCAAATTCTTCTGTTTCCACTTGGATTCCATTAATTCCTTAACTACTGTCCTTGCTATATGTGAGCATGTTGATATTTAGTGCACGTCCCAGAAATCCAGAAAGTGATATATGTAAGCTGAAGGCAAAGGTGCTGCCAAATTAAATAACAGCGATAATCAGTGTGTCCGTGGGTCCAGTCCTTAATTAATTACTCTAGTTACATCTGGTTGTGCTTCAGATGTCTGTACCAAGATGGACGGTGCAAGCTCAGGCTTGGAGAGGGAGACTGAGGACCACGATGGCACCCACACCCAAGGAACAACTGACCACCCAATTCAGGAAAACAAACCCAGGAGGAAGCCCAACATTGAGAAATCCCAAGGAAGTAAGGGTAAGAGCTGCCTTCTGAATGCATGAGGCCCGGCTCTGTAAGGCCTGCATGCTGGGCGGTCACGGCCTGTAACAGGGAGGTTCGCAGCCCTCGTCTCAGCGGCAGCCCCCCATGCCCCACTTCTCCCATCTTTCACTAAAGCCCATCTTAACCTTCTTACAGGTGAAGAGGGAGAGAGCTGTCTCAGAACTTTCGACTGTGGCCCTGGGCTGTGCTGTGCTCGTCATTTTTGGACTAAAATCTGTAAGCCAGTCCTCTTGGAGGGACAAGTCTGCTCCAGGAGAGGCCACAAAGACAATACCCAGGCTCCAGAAATCTTCCAGCGCTGTGACTGTGGCCCCGGCCTGCTCTGTCGGAGCCAAGTGCCTGGTAACAGACAACGTGCTCAGTTAAGAGTGTGCCAAAAACTGTAATAGGCTAAATATTTTGGAATAAAGAATCCTCATGGTATTAAAGGAGAATCCAACATTAATTTTAAAATACTTCCATACAGGTGCCTCTTAAAATCAAATCTTGGAGCAACAGAAATAGACCACAACTAGAGACTTGTAAGATGCTGCCTTATGAACGGAAACTTGCTTTGGCTTTTTGTCCATTTTTCCACAAAACTGATGCATTATGATTCTATTACAAAAAAAAATTAATTCTGATCTAGTGACATAATTAGTGGAAATAAATCTTTTTTAAAAATTGAAGTTGTATATATTTAAAGTATACACGCAGTGAACTGATGAAAATCTCCACCTCCAAATAAATCTTTAATTTCTGGTAAAGGGCTGGCTGGTACTGCCCTTTGTAAAGAGAAAAAGTAATGGTATCTTTAGTTAAAAGCAAATTAATTCTTATATTTTTCCAGGGAAGGTTATCATAGCAAGTGCTATATTTTCCCTTAAATATCCTGTTTTATTTCCCTTCATTTCTTAGAAGGGAAATAACATTTCACTGTAAAATAATTTGGCTAACAAAGAAGATTCAAAAGATAGTATCTTATGTTCATGTAGTCACAAGGCATTTGCACATACTTTGTGTTTCTGAGACAGTCTCACTGTGTCGCCCCGGGTAGAGTGCTGTAGTGTCATAGCTCACAGCAACCTCAAACTCTTGGGCTTAAGCGATTCTCTTGCCTCAGCCTCCCAAGTAGCTGGGACTACAGACGCCTACCACAACGCCCAGCTATTTTTTTGTTGTAGTTGTCACTGTTGTTTGGCAGGCCTGGGCTGGGTTTGAACCTGCTGGCTCAGTGTATGTGGCTGGTGCCCTCGCTGCTGAGCTAACGGGCTCCAAGCCCATACTTTGTTTTCAATAGCTTATGTGCCATTTGATAACTTTTTACACTTTATATTTATTTATTTTTATAGTCTTTCAAGGAATATTTTTACTTTTATATTTTGGCCATTTTTACCTTGAGTTAGCTTGGAGGAAAACTCAGGCAAAAAAATTAAATTTTTGTTTGACATTCAAATAAAAGACCATATTTTACACGTTACAGTAGGTGCTGTAGGACAGCTCTTTCTTGGAGACAGAGCCTCAAGCTGTTGCCCTGGGTAGAGTGCCACGGCATCACAGCTCACAGCAACCTCCACTCCTGGGCTTAGGACAACTCTTTCTAATGGGAGTATAACCAAATTTTTTTATTTTTTATTTTTTTGAGTATAACCAAATTCTATAGATTTCAGTTAAGCATATATCTGTTCTTCTATTTGCTATAAATATATGTTACAAAATCAAACAGGACCCATCAAAAAAATTAAATTTCTCAGCTCGGCACCTGTACTCAGTGGTTAGGGCGCCGGCCACATACACCAGAGCTGGCGGGTTAGAACTGGCTTGGGCCTGCTAAACAATGACAACTACAACAATAACAACAACAAAAATAGACAGGCGTTGTGGCAAGTGCCTGCAGTCCCAGCTACTTGGGAGGCTAAGGTAAGAGAATTGCTAAAGCTCAAGAGTTTGAGGTTGCTGTGAGCTGTGACACCACAGCACTCTACTGAGAATGACATAGTGAGACTCCGTCTCAAAAAAAAAAAAAGAAAAGAATTAAATTTCTGAAGGTCTCTAGTATCATGTTGCAGAGGATATACCTTAACTGACTAATTTATAATCAGTAAACAGGGAAAGTTAGGAGGGTGAAGTGGTTTACAGCACAGAGCAGAATAAAGTTTCCCACTGTAGATCTACCATCCTCTCCTCTCTCTGTTCTCTCTACTAACCCACAGCAAAGTGTGATCATGAATGCAATATTTAATTTGAAACTGAACATATATGATAAGAAAATAAGAGTATCATCCAGTAACACAGTACAAGAGGCTTTATTGACTACAGCGAAAGCATGAAGAAGAAACAATCATTTAAAAACACCAAAGACCCTTACATAGCAAAGGTTAAGAAATAAATTAAGATTTCTAGTGGGCAGTGTGGGAGGCGGCAGCCTCATTCGCTTCGATCCTTGGGCTCTCGGTACTTCCACTGGATGTACTCAAAGATATCTCTCTCGCTGTCCACAGGCAGGGGCTCTCCAGCAACTCCTGTAAGTGCAGAGAGAAAAGAAACTTGTTTTAAGAACTAGTCTGGCATTTAGAGTTCGGGATTGAGAGTTGAGTGGGACTCACTTGCAGAAGAAAATAGCAGCCAAGTCACCTCCACTCTCACGTGAGCTCGGGCTCGAGCTCTGTCACACGCGCTACCAGTGCTGCAAAAGGAACCTGGGCGTCCCAGCCAGGGACACTAAAGGGGCCTGAATTTATGGTTTTCCTTTCTATTGGATCTCTGTTATAGCCACGATGTATTACATAAAATACTCTAGTTAGTTCCTTCACAGCTCAAAATGCAGTGCTTGGACCAGCAGCACTGGCATTACCTGAAGGCTTACTAGAAGAAATGCAGAAATCTCGAGCCCTCGGAATTGGAATCTGAATTTAATGAGGTCCCCTAGGTGTTCAGCACACACACCAAAACGTGAGCAGCACTGACCCTTCCACCAGGACGGAAGCCTGATTTTATACTTTTAGGGAAAAATGACAAACCCGCAGAATATGTTGTGATCCACGAAACACAGATAAACAATCTTTACTGTTTATACTTAAAACACATGCAGCCAAAGCTGTGCAGTTTTGCGTGGCACTAACAGCTATGATACCTGATTTCTTCAGAAGTCTCAGAGATACATTTCTAAAAAACCTTTAATGGCCTTTAGCTGTGGGCCTGGGATCCCTCATAGAGTAAAGCCCTTCTTGTTGCCTGGGGGACTAACAACAAAGAAACTGCTGCACTAACAGGCACAGTGACTAGACAGCTTAGGAAGGAAACGTGCTAAGCCAGATGTCTCTGACAGTAACTTTCCCTCCAGAGCAGCCGTGAGTACTCACCAGTGACCCCCAGAGGACGGATGGTGTATTCGTTGATGGTGAAGCCCTTTTCTAGGGCGTGAGCTCGCATATTCTTATTGAAAATATCACTTCCAGTAAAATAGAGAACACCACAGTAATACTGATCTTTGGGTATCAACCTAAAAAAACCAACAGTAAATGTTTGCTACACATTACAAATTTAGCAAATATAGGACTCCTAAAATCAACAAAATACTGAAAATAAGTCTATGGGCCTGACAGGCTGGAGAGGAGGCTGACGCCAGGGAAGCCAGTCACTGTGTCGTCACCCAGCCGGGATTCAGTCTGGCTTCAGTGAACTCTGCCCCACAAGAGGTGTGGAGAAACTAAGAGTGTGATCATGCATCACCACTGACTCTCCCCAGGAGAGAAGCCGCTTCTGAGCTGTGGAAGGCTGCTTCATGACCAGATGCACATCCAGGCAAGGTAAATTAGCAGCTGGAGATAATCGTATTCTTTACACATTTTCAAGGTAATTGTATTTTATATTGTATTTTATATTGTATTTATTTTGTATTTGTATTGTATTTTATAAGAACACATGGCCCTTCAGAATAAAAGGGGTTCTAGACATTAATGCCACATGCAAGATCCACCCAGGAAGGGGAGAGAAGGGACAGGACAGGACATTGGTGGGCCGGCAATGAGTCTGAACAATACCTGATGTCGATCCTCCTGTGCGGATACTCTCTCTCATCACTGTTCCTGGGAAGCTGGCAAACACCCTAAAATGGAGATTTTAAAGAATGTTTAAACATGGTTTTAAATTTAAGTCTTAATTTTAATAAAATGTTAAACATGAGGCTATTTTTTTTTAATTTCAGAGTGACTCTGTCTCAACAAAAAAGTATCAAAAGCCACATTCTAAGAGGCTTTTAGGTCTAAACGGTAGCCGACTTCATGCATGTGTCATCCCTAAAAGCCATACTTTCTCACTCAGCAAAACAGAAAGATTAAAATCATTTAAGATAGATATTTTCTTTAGTTGTTCCTATGGATTCACCTTCAAAATATAAAACCTATCTTCTTAGGCATGAACAAGCTCCAGCCTCCACCTTCAGGTGGATCAGAAATGCCTTCCGCCTGGAATTAGCAGGTGCATTAGCTTGCGGATACGGTGTCTGGGCGCCACAGCAGCCGTCTCCCCACTTGCCACTGCGGTAATAGGATTTCAGCTAATGGCTTTGTTCCTTTCCCCAAGGCTCACTTTATTTCTTGCACTTTTTCTGGAGTGCTAATGTGAAAGAATTTCTCTGTATTACTGTGAATTCTTTATGAGACTGAGTGGATTAGTTTTGTTTGGCATTCTGGCTCGGCAGCTTCATGCTGGGTGTCTGAGATCAAACCTCTCTCATTTCCCCAGAGTAGCCACGGTATCTTCTATTGTTCCTTAAATTCGTACTGTAGGTATTTCACAGAAAATCACCCAAGGCCAAACATACACAAAATACTAAAATTTAAATGGCACTCATCATATATACAAGTAATAATTAAAAGCAGATGAAGCTGGTTTTTCTTCTAAATGTTATTGTACTCACAGGAAGAACAGCTCAATTAGCTAAAGCCCGTGATTTTTAAAGGTCCCTGGAATAACCCTGGCTTCCCTAAGTTTTGATTACTATTAGCTTAAAGGAATTCCTGTTTTGAAGATAACTTAAAAAACACATGGATAGGCATACCTTTAACACTGGTCAGTGGTTATAGCAACAAGAGGCTTTGAAATCATATGGATATGGAATAAGAATGGTTTATTCTACTTTTTTTTTTTTTTTTTTTTGCAGTTTTTGGCCGGGGCTGGGTTTGAACCTGCCACCTCCGGCATATGGGGCCGGCGCCCTATTCCTTTGAGCCACAGGTGCTGCCCTATTCTACTTTTTAATTGCAGCCAGTTTCCTCCCAGAACCTTAGAGATCTTAGCTGTCTCTGCTAATGTTCACTCACTCATGCTGCCTCCCACCTGGTCCTCCCTTCTCAGATATCTGCTTGGCTGATTCCTTCAACTTAGGTCTTTCCCTAGGTTGCGTTTTCTCAGGGAGGCTGCCCCTGCCACCCTACTCCCTGCTACATTCCCACCCACACTCCCACACACCACGCTTCCCCTGTTTGAACAGCACCCACCGTCTCAGCCTAACACACCACATAATTACGTCAGTCCCTTCTCACAGCACTCACGTCAGTTCTACTGAGCTGACACGACCCAGGCTCCTGGGGCAGCACCTGAATGCTGAATACACCTTCCCGAACTATGGGTGCTCACTCTCCACCCCGTCCCCCTTCACACCACCACCCTCTCCTGCTTTCTGTCCCCTCTTTCATTCCCCAGCTGACCCTTACCAGGCCACTTTCCTTTCTGACCTATTTCCAAACAAATGGTCCACAGGTTTGGGCGGCACTCTCTGTATAAGCCTTGCAAGAATCAAGATCTCTGAAGTTGTACTAACTCTTGTTTGCACATCAAATATCAGCACAAACTCTTCAATGTTCCCAAGTATATTGAATTTGACCTGAATAAAAGTCCTCTGACATAGGGCAAACATCATTTTATGGATAAGAAAATTAAGGCCTTGGCTCGGCGCCTATAGCTCAACCGGCTAAGGCGCCAGCCACGTACACCTAAGGTGGCGGGTTCGAATCCCCAGCC